CTTGGTTCATGACAAGTTCCTCTTGCTAATACACAGGGACAACATGTGACATGTTCCTATGCTTGGTTCATGACAAGTTCCTCTGCTAATACATAGGGACAAGCTGTGACATGTTCCTATACTTGGTTCATGACAAGTTTCTCGTCAACTGACAGTGCAATACCATCAGGGTTGACTTATAGTTGGAGGCCAAGTAAAGAGATTAATATAGCAGGATTGTTAAATCATGTAGATCCACAGAACACAATATTTTAAAGAGGGAATCCTTTAGAATAATTACAGGTTCTGAAATCACACTTCAATCCCATCTGCAAGGTAGTTATGAAAAAAAAAACAACCCTCCAGCCCATAAAGTAATCACAAATAATGCTGGGTAAAACTCCTTTAATTGAAAAGATAACAGACAAGAATTTGAAGTTGATAGGCTTCCATCCACACCTCACAATCAATGGTTGTTGTCATGGAAACGATAGTCTATGACACTGGAATTATAACAATCCCATTATACTACATACTTGTGAAAAGTAGGTCATAGTGCGTGATCTAAGATTGACCTCCTCATCTTTTACAGAAGCTTGCTACAATAGAAATGTTGGTATCGGGCACTAGTACACGATCATGGTCATTACACCATGTACGATTTACAATGGTGGCTTTGGACCTAGAAGCTTGTTCTTATAAAGCGTTAGTAACCTTTAAACCTGGAAAAGAGTACATGATGTTTTCAAACTCAGTGGAATTTCTGACTTATACATCAATACAAAATGTGTTTGTTGTCAAGGACACATTCATGTGTACATCTTTAGGGCACCTTTGTGTCATAAGCATATAAAATTAGTTTTACAGAAAAATAACTTCAGTATGAGAACAGTAGTCCACTAGAGATAGCTACTTTGTCAGATTCTCGGTAATCTTTATGTGCTAATAACCCATCATATGGAAAAAGATTTAATGGTAAAGTGTTTATTATACATCTCAGCTTGGTTAATGAAGTCACATTTTCATCCAGTCTTTAAATGGTCAACGAATATCTCTTAACAAGCTAGCTTAGGTCCATTTTAGGAAGGAGAAAAAAAATTTTGACTACTGAGATCCTGGTCTATAGATTGTACATTTCAGTATTAAAAACAAAATTCTTAAAAAAACAGTACAAATATACTCCAGTTATGTAAACAATAATTCAGTGTATTTATTGTGTTAAAAACAGTACAAATATACTCCAGTTATGTATTAAGATTAACACAATAAATAGACTGAATTATTGGTACTCTTAATACATAACTGGAGTATATTTGTACTGTTTTTAACACAATAAATAGACTGAATTATTGTTGCTCTTACTTTCTTAAAGCATACTGAATGTTCCTTGTTAGTAACTAAACGGTTTTTGTTACTTTAATAGTATTTGTCACTAATATTAGAACTGGTTTGTGAACATTTTTGACAGCTATGAAGTACAAGTTATTGTTATTATATTCTGAGTAACAGTTTGGTTTTATCACTATATCACAATATTTATAAATGACTAGTGTGTTTGATAAAAAAACTGTTTAATTCAAATATTTTTTTAATCCACTTAATTTTGAAAATAATTTAACAAATCAATACACATTGAGTGGCGATAAACTTTTAAATAAAACAACGGTATCTGTACTTACCTGCAATAACAGGAACACTTCTGTCACTGGTTTCAGCTTTCTTTAACCTTGCCCCTCGTCTGATCTCACTTAAGAGGGCATTGCGGTTAGGTTGTTGCTGATTTTCTGTCTGTGACAGCTTTGAAGATTGTTGAGATGAAAAATGTGCAGGCAGTGGGGGAGGAGGTAGAGAAGGTGGTGGTGGCATTGTTATGCTCTTTTAAGGTGAAGTTATAGTAGCATCTGTTCTCGTTGTTTACTTTTCACATCGGCAAACATATAACTGAGGATTCAGAATAAAAGTAATTTCTTTTAATATGAGAAACAATTCAAGTTCTTTGTCTAAAACTCAAATTTACAAGAAAATATCAAATCAATAAAATGTGTTACGTGTTATACAACGTTAAACTTTACGAAAGTGTTTTGTCTAGCAACAATCACTCACATTTCACACAGTAATAAAGCCTTTAAGTTTTTATACTATCAAAAACTATACAGACACAACTGTAAACTGTGTCATAGGTTACTAACTGAATAGAATATTGTCTTCTCATTGGGTAAGAAATTCAGAATTAAAAATAAATTTAGATCCAAAAGCAGTGTATCACAACTTTCTTACCCTGTTTACAAAACATGTATGCATTAATTACAACTGTTTTAGAGAAAGATAATACCATAGTGTTTAGAGATGTTTAAATCTGGCTCCTTAACGAGTAAGTGTTTTATGACAGTAACAGTATTATACACAAAACAATAAACTGTTCTAGAGAAAGATAACACCATAGTGTTTAGAGATGTTTAAATCTGGCTCCTTAACGAGTAAGTGTTTTATGACAGTAACAGTATTATACACAAAACAATAAACTGTTTTAGAGAAAGATAACACCATAGTGTTTAGAGATGTTTAAATCTGGCTCCTTAACGAGTAAGTGTTTTATGACAGTAACAGTATTATATACAAAACAATAAACTGTTTTAGAGAAAGATAACACCATAGTGTTTAGAGATGTTTAAATCTGGCTCCTTAACGAGTAAGTGTTTTATGACAGTAACAGTAATATACACAAAACAATAAACTGTTTTAGAGAAAGATAACACCATAGTGTTTAGAGATGTTTAAATCTGGCTCCTTAACGAGTAAGTGTTTTATGACAGTAACAGTAATATACACAAAACAATAACCTTGGAATCTGAAAATAACCACAAAAGCTGACTTCAGGGTCTAGCAGATTTTAGTTACAGCTCATTCTTGACTACTCAGACTACAAAACTTGCCAACATCAGTAAGTCACAAGATGGTGAGTCATAAGTTATGCATCTCATTGTCTTATGAACATATAAATATTCTCTTGTTCAAGTAAACAGCCACTAGGGGATTTGTTAGGTATTTTAAAACTAACGTTAACAAAATAATTTCTGTATAGTATGTACACCAAGTCACTCGGACTTACCCTGCTGTAAAAATGTACGTAGCACATACAATGTGCATGTTAAGTTAACTGGCAAGTAGCTAATGCAACTTGTAGAACTTTTGGTCTATACATGAATATTATATAATACAAACAACTCGTCTGTAGGCTTCCTGTGTTATCTGTAAGACGTCTGGTTAATTCTACGTGTCACCTACATAACACACGCCTGTAAACAAGAAACTCACTTTCAATTATAAAAGAAATGCCTTACAACTTTTTCCTGTTTATAAACTTCAATGTAGATTATAACATATTTTTCTCTCTCTCTCAATGTAATTAACAAGTTCATTTCCCTCTGTACCGACATGTAGCAGCCTTCACGTTCACCTCCCTCTGTACCGACATGTAGCAGCCTTCACGTTCACCTCGCTCTGTACCGACATGTAGCAGCCTTCACGTTCACCTCGCTCTGTACCGACATGTAGCAGCCTTCACGTTCACTTCCCTCTGTACCAACATGTAGAAGACTTCACGTTCACTTCCCTCTGTACCGACATGTAGCAGCCTTCACGTTCATACTTTTTTGTACTGATACAACACTGTTATTCATAGTTTAGTTTTTTTATTGTTTTACAAAAATCTTAGACTCACTGTTTTTTGGTACTATTTTAAGTTTAGTATCACATAATTTCAAAATGAATTTTGCACATGCTCAGAACTTAGCCTAAACTGTATTCAATAAAGGTATCTTAGACTATTTGTTACATTTTTTAAGCACCTATAACTTGATAGCCATATTTCTCATTTATTTAATAAACAACTTATTCTATTCCTTCCACCACACTTCTGTTAAAAAATATCCTCCAAACAATGTCCCAGATCTGTACAAAAGAGAGTCCATGACTTTTCTAAGTTTTCCCTGACAAAAACCCATTACATAAACATATATAAAGGAAATTATGCTCGGAAATCACTGCATTACTACTTTAACTGAATTAATGAGGTTATATAATAGAAGTAACAACTAACCAATACATTTCTGTTAATAATTACTGGCCGAAAAGAGACTTGCAAAAACAAATTCCCTGACTTTAGGCATTTTTTCTCTGACTGTATACACCCTGCTGTAGCCAGTTCTACTGTCAGTGTCACTCCTGATATTAAGTTCTATATAGCATGTTTTCAGCACTATTATGTGTGACAGATTACTCACTGTAAATAGATTTAATTATCTGATGGATGAAAAAATATTTTTTTGTCTGCTTGTACCATTTATCTTATCTTCAACACAATAACAGAAAAATGTTCTATTTCTCTGCTGCCTATCCAAAATAAAATCATTTAATCAACACAACCAAAATAACACATTACCTAAAACACTTTAATGTTAGTTTCATTACCATTTTTTGTTGAATCGTTTAATACATATTTGTCTAACTCATTCTAATTATAATATTAATAGCTAAGAACAGTATGTTAACCCCTTGTTCTCTGTAAGTGTAAGGCCATACATTTGTAAGGGTTTTTCACACCGATTCCAATAATCCTGTAATACTTTTATGCAATATAAAATATATCAAATATAAAAAGATTGATATATTTCATCAGATTTTCCAATTCCTTGGAATATAAAATGTTTAGTTAATGTGTTAATTTTTGTTTGTATGTTGTTAAGCACAAAGCTACACAATGGGCTATATGTGCTGTGCCCACCTCTGGTATCAAAACCAAGTTTTTAGCATCATAAGCCTTCAGATCTACTGTTGAATCACTTGGGGGTGGCGTGTTAACTTTTAATTCTTATCAAATATTATAATCACTTAAGCCTACTTGGGCTAAACCTACTTCACGTAACTTAAGACAATTTAAGAACGTATTTATAAATATTTCTAATAGGCTACGTACTGTTTATTAACTGACTATGGATTTCATGCATTATCCAAATGTCACTATAAAAACGTAAAACAACGCCCAGTGTCTCTTCATTTATATCAGTTATTTACCTATAAACTATCAGTGTCACTTCAGATAACAAGAGACATTGTTCATGTACGACTTTAAACTAACATTAACAGTTACTCCAAATGGTTATCACGTCTAGTAGACAGTGTTTTAAGGAAGCCAGAGGCATTTTAACTTTTAATAATCGTGTCCATAAGATAGCTATTGAACTTTCCACAGGTAAACCTATTGTATTAACTGGTGAATGTAATAAAAATAAAATTTTAGTTTGATAATAATAAGCACTTTAAAAACAATTAAGAAAAAATATGTAATAAACTTTATCGACTTAGTTACAAATGTGGTCTAAAAGTAGAACTTAAAAGTCACCAAATTACAATTCGTTTACGCGCGAAAAGCATTCATATAAGCAAGCAGAATACTATAGAAATTCTAGACCTAATGTTATTAAAAACTATCAAAGCCTAAACGTATAGCTCTCCCATCTATTAGCCTAACTTGAAACATAATCATAAAATAAACGAAAAATATTTGCATTACGAAACAGTGCAATATCAATACGAAGTATGATTAAATTGTATAACATTACCTTTTTGGGAAAGGGGTAACAGCAAAATAAACATACACTATACTTATCGAAAAGCATACACATTTTGCATATATCAGTTACTTAAATGATAAGAAACTACTGCACGTTTTTACACATCGCAATCAAACAACAAAAATTAATTAATAAAATGTCATTCAATATTAATAAAATAAAAAACTATCACGATTTTAAATAAAACAATATCAAAATACCTCGTAGAATTCAAATATCATTAATCACAATACTAGACTTTTCAGTTCTGGAAATCTGCATGTATTATGAAGCTAAGGTAGTTGTATACGCTACTTGGTCATGTTCATCCAACCGAACCAACTAAAATTTATTTTTAAACGTCTTGTATTGTTCTGTATTCATACTAAATTTCTCGTGTATACCAACTGTGACTGTCATAATTAAAATATAATCTACAAATATTTTTTTTTAGATGGTACTTCATTCACTACCAGGTAGCGTGGACATCATTCGAAGCGGGTCAAACGATAAACCTACAGGCGACAGTAGAAGAGATAAGGACAAAGACGAGGATACGTTAACAAAAACAATAGTAAAACAAAACCAAAAATACATTTAGAATAAGAACACCACGAGGAAGAGAAATACAAACAACTGAGGCTAACACCCTACATACTGACGCTAAGTTGGGTTATCTATTTTTCCTTCATTCTGCTTGTCTACGATTCATTTTTTTTAGCAACTAATAAATATTTATTATTTTAAAGACAAACGAGTTTTTATAAATCCGTTTGACATCGTTATTTTATAACGTTTCTTCCCTCTGATGTTCATCTTCCGCTTACATTATTTCCCCCTATGTTTCGCATTCAATAGGCGAGAGATGTGGGTTGGCAATTCTTTTGTAAATAGACTCCACGCTAGAGATGTGGTTTAGGCTAGTCCTAAGTAAATAGCTCCACGCTAGAGATGTGGTTAGGCTAGTCCTAAGTAAATAGCTCCACGCTAGAGATGTGGTTTAGCTAGTCCTAAGTAAATAGCTCCACGCTAGAGATGTGGTTTAGCTAGTCCTAAGTAAATAGCTCCACGCTAGAGATGTGGTTTATCTCTTGTTTGGTGCTTTGGGCGATTAAAGGAAAACTAAAAAAGAAAAGTTCATTGACATCTATATAAAACAAGGCATAAAAATGACAAAAAATTTAACCAGGGCCTTTCTTTATGAATTAGAATTTACCGGACTAGCAGTTGAGCTAAGTTCTTCATAGATGTTGTTTACATACCAGTGAAACACTCAATGTCAATCGTTCCCCTTAATATTCACACATCCGTGATTTTATAGCTACACCC